CTGTGCCCGCAAGGTATTATTCCACACTTGTTTGATAAAGATAGGTGTTAATATCAGTCTGATTACAGATGAGGAAACTGAGGCCCGGGAAGGTTCCATCATTTGTTTAGAGTTCACAGCAAGAAGTTTCCTGCTTCTCTACCCCTTTCCCATGAAAAACCAAGCCAAACCTATACATAGCAATACTTCCAAAGGCGAGGTAGAGGTCAGAGAATGAAAGCAACTACATAAACCAAGACAAGAAAATACCTTTCCTTCTCATGGGACCGTGAAGTCATTTGCATAGTGTTGATGAGCTGTTGGTCTCAAGTCTCACGGGGAGCAACATCAGGGCCCCCTTTTTGTCTTCGCTGTTTCAGAACCACAGCCTTTGAATTGAGGCGGTCTGGGGGGTGGGGAGGGGGAGTGAGGCTGGAGAAGAGTCAACTGGACTGTTAAGAAGGTGGGTTTATACTGTATGGGAGAGCATAACTGCCAATGATACATCAGATATGTATGAGCACTCCAATATATAGAGAGTGCTCATACAACTCCACAAAAGGAAGACAAAGAACCCAATTAAAAAATGGGCAGAGGAACTAAATAGATACCTCTCCAAATAGGACATACAAATGGCTAAGAGACATATGAAGAAATGCTCATCATCACTAATCATCAGAGAGATGCAAATTAAAACAACAATGAGGTATCACCTCACACCTGTCAGAATGGCTGCCATCAACAAATCATCAAACAACAAGTGTTGGCGAGGGTGTGGAGAAAAGGGGACTCTAGTGCACTGCTGGTGGGAATCCAGACTGGTGCAGCCACTATGGAAAACAATATGGTGTTACCTCAAAAAATTAAAAATTGAACTTCCATTTGACCCAGTGATCCCACTTCTCGGAATATACCCTAAGAAGCCTGAAACACCAATCAGAAAGAATATATGTACCCCCATGTTTGTAGCAGCACTATTTACAATAGCTAAGATCTGGAAACAGCCAAGTATCCATCAGTAGACGAATGGATAAAAAAGCAGTGGTACATACACACAATGGAGTACTACGCAGCTATAAGAAAGAAAGATCTCTTATCCTTTGAGACAACATGGAGGGACCTGGAAAGTATCATCCTAAGTGAAACAAGCCAAACAGAGAAAGACAAGTATCATATGATCTCCCTTATTTGTGGAATATAATGAACATAACAGTCTGAGGAATGGGGTAGTCCCAGAGACGTGGAAGTGGGGTACAGACTGACAATCCCCAGAAGAGGGGGTGGTGGGGGAGAGATAAACCACAGAACTTATATGCATGTGTGCATGAACAGTGGACATGGACAACAAACTGGGGACAGGGCGGGAGGGGGGAATCAGTGGGGGAAAAAGGAGAAACATCTGTAACAAAAAGTAATTAATAAAAATAAATAAATTAAATAAAAAGAAGGTGGGTTTAAGACAAGCTACACAGTTTCAGGAAGCCTAGTCCACACAGCCTGGCCAACTGAAAATGCCTCTTACCACCTAGTCTCTACTTTCATTTTCCATGTGCCTTTTTGGCCCATGCTCCATGGTCATTTAGAACAATTTATTGTGACATCATTTCCGTTTCATTCTTGCAAGAATAGTACAAATGATTTCTGTATAGCTTTCATCCAGATTCCACAACTGTTTTTTTTTTTTTTTTTTAATGGTATGGATGATTTTTTTTTTGTACGTGCCCCTAGTGGGAACTGAACCTGGGACTCTGGTCCGCAGGCCGATGCTCCAACCGCTGAGCCAAACCGGCCGGGGCTCCACAACTGTCACTATCTTACTGCATTTGCTTTATCTTTCTTGAAATAAACATATTCATACTGTTTTCTTTTTCACGCAGACATGATGATGCTCCTTTATTCCTTCGGGGTATATTTCTCCTAAATGAGGATATCCTCTTCCATAACCACAATACAATGATCAAAATCATGAAATCACCACCGGAAAAAATACCATGAACTAAATACCATCGACAGCCTTATTCAGATTTCACCGATTGTCCGGGTCATGTCAGCAAAAGAAACCCCAGCTCATGCATTGTATTCAGTTGTCCTGTTTCTTTTCTTTTTTCATATGTGATTTTGTTTTTCATTATCTTAAGCCTTATGATCACATAATTTACAATTTTATGTTGATGGTTTATTCTCCTCTACTTTAATCCTTCTAGTGAGCTGGCAAAAGCACCATTACCAATAACACACATATATAGTGATTCTACAGTTGTTTTTGAATAGCCGTTCAAGAAAATCCTGAATTATAACTTGTCTGACTTAAAGAATTCACCAAGTTTGCTACTACATCTTGTCACACTGAATTTTAAAAGCACCTGACCTTATAGATTATCTATAAAATGTGAGAAGTGTTAAATATTCTTTATTTGGTATTATACATAAACCATACTAAAACGCCTTTCGTTTCGTAAAAGGCAACAGTTTAGATACTGTTGGGAATTTAAATTAAACTGGCATAGTTAGGACCAAAAAGATAAAATGGGCATTGCCAGCTCATCTCCAGCCCTTGCCTTGTAACAGGCTCATGAACACAACTTGAAACCCAAGCGAGTCTTGCTGGTCTGAGGGACAGTGAAAGGCTTTCCTCAGCGTTTAAACATATTATTACAACCAGTTATGTAAATCTAAATATAAAATCAGAGATGGAGAGGGCACTCGCCATCTCTGTGAAAAGCTGAACGTTACGAACCAAGTCCAAGCATATTTTTAGAAAGGAAAACAGTGACAGCACTCTCCGAACCGACATCACCATCCAAGTAAGAAAGCTGACCATATTCATCCAACCACAAGCCAATCTTATTTCAACCAGGACTGCCCAGAAGCAATGTTCTATCAGCCATTCATGATCTGAATTCTGGTGTACGAGATCAACTTAAATATGGTACACAGAAAAAAACGTCATGAAACATTTTTAATAAATAAGGCAGTGGCCAACTACCACTCATGGTAGCTGTTTTGAGATAAGCTATCAAGTCTGCCCCCTCTGCACTCTTCTTAATGCTGGCGAAGATCATTTCTGTTCCAGGGATGTACTTCTTGGTATTCTTCAAATACTCCATCAGTGTAGCCTCTCCCCGGGTGATGCCTTTGTTCTTGTTGGCCTCCGCGTAAGAAAATCCAGGGGCTGGCCTGTCTTTTGCCCACATAGACCATGGAGATTTGGCCCAGGCTTGTGCTTGCCCCTTTCCCACACTATGGCACTGGGCACACTTCTGAACAAACATCTTCTTGCCCTCCTCCACTTCACCCATTTCTAGACCGCTCTCGGTCACGCACGACACTGGGACTCCCGCTCTCTCAGTTGTCCTGTTTCTTTGGTCTCTTTTACTCTGGAACCATTCCTCAGTCCTCTTTTGTCTTCATGACACATCTTTTGTGGGAAAGTACGGGTCAGTTATTTGACGGAATGCCATTCCCTTTGAGTTTGTCTGATGTCCTGACCAGGTTCAGGTTTTGGGTTTGGGGCAGGACTGGCACAGAAGTCTGTTACCGTTATCTTCGTGCATCGTTTCAGGAGGTGATGTTGACCTGGATCTCTCGGTTAGGGCGATGTCTGCCAGGTTTCTCCACTGGGAAGTCACCAGTACCTCCCCCTGTCACATTACTGAGCTTAAAAATATATGGTAAAATACATTACATAAAATTTACCATTGTAAACATTTTAAACAATATTTTTCTTTATTGATATTAGAGAGGAAGTGAGAGGGAGAGAGAGATAGAAACAGCGATGAGAGAGAACATCGATCAGCCGCCTCCTGTGCAGCCCCCACTGGTTATTATGCCCAAAATCTGGGCATGTGCCCTGACTGGGAATTGAACCCCGTGACCTCTTGGTACATAGGTTGACACTCAACCACTGAGCCACACCGGCTGGGCCATTTTAACCATTTTTAAGTGTACAATTCTGTAGCATCAAGTACATTCACATTGTTGTGCAACCATCACCACTACCCACAGAACTTTTTCATCTTCTACAGCTTAAACTCTGTCCTCATTAGTCACTAACTCTCCACTTCCCCTCCCCCAGCCCCTGGCAACCACCATTCTACTTTTTATCTCTATGAATTTGCCCACTCTAGGGACCTCATGTAAGTGGAATCATACACTGTTTGTCCTTTTGTGACTGACTTATTTCATTTAACATAATGTCTTCAAGGCTCATCCATGTTGTAGCATGTGTCAGAATTTCCTTCCTTTTTAAGGCTGAAATATTCCTTTGCATGTATACTCCACATGTTGCTCATGTATTCACCTGAGGATGGACACTGGGTTGCTTCTGCCCCTTAGCTATTGTGAACAAAGCTGCTATGAACACGCGTATGCAAATATCTGCTCCGGTCCCTCTTCCTTTGTTTTGGCTCTGTACCCAGAAGTGAAATCGCTAGATCATTATTTTCCCCTCCTTAATTAACAAGTTCCTTGTTGAGTGGTATTCTGAGACTCTATAAATAATCCTGTTACTCCTCACACTTCCACTAGTTTTAGCATCCCTTAATCCTATCTGAATCAATTATTATTCCAATGTTGCCAAATGGTAATTTTCTTTCCATTATTCCTTCTACATTTATTAGTTGGCATTCTACTGGGGGAAATAACTTTCCCGTATCTCCCATTTATTTATGGATATGGACTCATTTTATTCAGTGGGTCAGAATTCTTTACTCTACGGACACTATTGCTCTGAGCAATCCTTTAATAATATAACTGTCAAGAGCGCAAGTTTGGGGAAATGCAGGAACTCTTGGTATTTCCGGTCAGCCTCTAGCCACCCCAGTGTGTAGCCTGACTTCTCGAAATTCAGATCACTCTCCTGCCCTCGTGTCCCTCTAGTCCAAGAGGAAACCCTTTTGGGTAGTCCCCGCACACGCCACCTGGGCAGCGCCGGCCCGCGGAAACTACATTTCCCAGAGGCCTTCGAGCCCCACGTCATCAGCGAGCGCGGCTCGGACTCGCGCAGTCGGCTTCAGAGAGCCCCACACAGCGGCGGCGACGGCAACATGGCGGACGTGCTCAGTGTCGGGGTGAACCTGGAGGCCTTTTCCCAGGCCATTAGTGCCATCCAGGCGCTGCGCTCCAGCGTGAGCAGGGTGTTCGACTGCCTGAAGGATGGCATGCGGAACAAGGAGACGCTGGAGGGCCGGGAGAAGGCCTTCATCGCTCACTTCCAGGACAACTTGCATTCGGTCAACCGGGACCTCAAGTAGGTGCCGGCTGAAGGGGCCGGGTCGGGGACCGGCCGGCGCCCACTCTGCCGACCCCACGCTGGTCGCCCTGTCCAGGGACCGTGCGCCCTGTCCCTTGCTCCTTGCTGTCTTTCCCTCCAGGCCTCCGTCTGCCCCGTAGGGACACCTCATCCCCACCTCTGCGTTTTCGCAGCCCTTCTCCCGGCCTCCTGGTCCTGCCTGCCTCCCGCCGCCCTGGCCCCGTCTGTGGTCGTCCCCGCGGGGAGACCTGGCCTTTCTCCGAACTTCCACGTCTCCTTTCGGCTTGGCAGGTTTCTCACCTGTAGGCTCTCCGGGCCCCACTGGGTCTCATCAAACTGTACTGAGGGAACCAAACGGGGCCCGGTCAGCCCCGCCCCAAACCTAAGCGCACCCGATCTCATTAGCCCTAATTCCTCACGGGAACTTGGCATTTATCAGTTCCACCCTGGCCGACGCCCAAACACGACGGAACAGGCCTTGGTCTATCTCGCTCCCCCTCCACAACCTGGCCTGTTCGGCTCCTTCCTCCAGACGGGACTCAGATCGGCTTAGCAGCGAAATCCCTTAGGCTTAACTGCCCCCCACCCCAATTTATTAATCTGTGGTCCTTTAAGGTTAAGGATTGCACCCTTCTTTCTTCTCTATTATCAGTGGTGTTGTAAGAAGTAAGTGAGAGAATGTTTGAAAATACACGTAGTAGGCCCTCTAATTGGCTAGGTCCTCAAGTTGTAGTCCCTTCCTTAAGAGAGTCAGTCCTCCCAGGGAGGTTAGAATGTCAGGATTTTTTTTTTTTTTAATCTTCACCCCAGGATATTTTTCCATTTTTGTTCAGATAGAGTGGGAAGGAGAGAGAAACATTCCACGTGAGAGGGAAACAGCGAGTGGTTGCCTCCCACACCATCCCAGTCAGGGCTGGGGACCAATGGCAACCGAGGTTCGTGCCCTTGACTGATGGAACCCTCGACTCATTGGTCCGTGGGCCGTCGTGCTAACCACTGAGCCCAACCGGCCAGGGCAGAATGTCAGGATTTTTGCATTTTATTTCTCAGAACTGACCTGAGCAAGGAAAGGCATTTGGTGAGCTAGTTCTCCTTTGAATTCTGGAGTGACTGGATTTCTTTTCCCCCCTTTCTCAACTTGTCTCCTTAGTAACCAGATGGAAGAGGGAGGTAGAATGGAGGAGGAGGTGGTGACCAAATGATGGGTGCCTCTTTTTTACCCCCCCCCTCAAGTAGTTGCCATTCTTTTTTGGGAGAAAGCCAGGAAATCACACCCTGCTTCTCAACTCCCACATCACTTGCTGCTGTTCTCTGGTGTCGCGCCAGTCGATCTCCCCCTGCTTGAAGGGATGCGTTTGGCCTTCTTTCCTCTCCGATTTGCTTCCCTTGGTAACGTTCAGGATGTTACAGCCAGCCCTTCACCATTTTCGGAAGTTTAGGAATGTCTGCATTACCCCATTGCCTTCTTAAATCTTTCTGCAGCCGTGCCAAGAAGAAGGTGACAAGATTCCAAAATGGACATGGCACGAGAAGGAGTTCCTAGAGAATCTGTTGTTGACGGTTTGGGATGGGCCCTCAGACGTGCTCCTGGAATGTACTTTTGCTCTGGGCTCCTTTTCCCAGTTTCTCTAAGAGTTTTCGTGGTAGACCAAAGTGTGTTGGTTTGACACAGGCCCTCAGTAGTGCCTTCCCATTCTATTTATTTATTTTACCTCTTCTTTATTTTGTTACATTTCACCATCTGTGAAGCATTATGCACAAATCTGTCCCTATGTGAATGACAGATAATAACCATTCACTCAGGTACTTGCGGTTCTGCCAAATCTTATGATCTGTATGTGGGTCCGAAAACTGAGTGAGAAGCATTGTTATACCACATTTCAAAATTTCAGAACGTCCCTTTCCCCTGTGCAGAGAATGATGCGAGTTGTTCTATCCCAGGTTTAGGGTTTCTGTTGATTCCCAGTGCTCTTAACTTTTCCCCTCCCCTCCTTTGGAATGGCACAGGAGAGCTCAGCTTTAAAATGAGAAGAGCAGCCCAGCCACTGTGGCTCAGTGGTTGAGTGTCAGCCCATGCACCAAGAGGTCACCGGTTCAATTCCTGGTCAGGGCACGTGCCCAGGTTGTGGGCCAAATCCCTAGTGGGGGCATGCGGGAGGCGGCCAGTCGACGTTCACTCTCATCGATGTTTCTGTCTCCCTCTCCCTTCCTCTCTCCCTCAAATCAATAAAGAAAAAAAATTAAATGAGATGAGCACCCTGTTAGGGGTTTCTTGATTGTCCCTAATTGTTTGCACCTTTCAAAAAAGTTATTTCTTGCCCTGCTGGTTTGGCTCAGCGGTTAGAGCGTCGGCTTGCGGTCCAGAGACACCCGGGTTCGGTTCCCGCTAAGGGCAGTACCTTGGTTGCAGTTTGTCCCTGGCCCTGGTTGGGTCGTGTGGGTGGCAGCCACTCGATGTGTCCCTTTCACGTTGATGTTTCTCTCAAAAGTATTTCTTGCCCTGCCTGGTTTGGCTCAGCGGTTAGAGTGTTGGCCCATAGACCAGAGAGTCCCAGGTTCGGTTTCCACTAAGGGCATGTACCTCAGTTGCAGTTTGTCCTCAGCCCCGGTTGGGGTCGTGTGGGTGGCAGCTACTCAATGTGTCTCTTTCATGTCGATGTTTCTCCCTCTCTCTTCCTTCTTCTCTCTCTCCCATTCTATGTGAAGATACGTGCAAAAATGTCCTCGGGTGAGGATTTAAAAAAAGTATTTTTTTTTTTGAGGGACTTCTGATGGCCAGTTTGAAGAGCAGCCTTTGACCAGTGTGGTGGGCTAAACACTGGAGCTTCAGTGGACTCAGGTTTGCTTTATCTGTTTCCTTTCCAGCGAGCTGGAACGTCTGAGCAATTTGGTGGGCAAGCCATCGGAAAACCATCCTCTCCACAACAGCGGGCTGTTAAGCCTGGATCCTGTGCAGGACAAAACTCCTCTCTACAGTCAACTCCTTCAAGCCTATAAGTGGTCCAACAAGGTAAGGGTGATATGTCAGAAATGGAGGTAATATAGGGAAAGCCAAGTGTTCTTACTTTTCATGGTGTTTTATTATTTTTTTGTTCTTGATTTAGCATGGGATTACAGAATTGGAAGTTTTAGAATATCCCAATGAGCTCTTGCATGCTCCTGTGAAGTCTTTGGGAGCTTATTCATGATGCTCAGGTAATTAAATTAAAAAATTTAAGTCAGGTGTTTTTAACCTGGAGGCTGGCTATATATTTTTTTTTCTTTTAATTGTCACCTGAGGTTTTTTTTGTTTTTGTTTTTGTTTTAAATTGATATGAGAGAGAGAGAGAGAGAGAGAGAAACGTGGATTGGTTGCCTCCCATACCCATCCCGACCAGGGATTGAACCCACAACATAGATTGGTTGCCTCCCGTACCCATCCCGATCAGGGATTGAACCCACAACCTTTTGGTGTACGGGATGACGCTCCAGCCAACTGAGCCACCTGGCCAGGGCTGTAGGAAGCAACTTTTATGAACCCTTTGAAATTAAATAAAAAATGTGATACGGACATTTTTTGGGCCGAGGGAAGACTTCCTCATTTTCATCAGATTCTCAGAGGAGCCCATGACCCCCAGAAGGTCAAGGGCTGGTGGTCGAAACGTTTAGCCATTCATCGTTTGGGCCGCTTGTACCGTCTTTCCCCCATCCTCAGTTGAAGAACATCACTGGAGTACTGTTTGTTCGATTTCTCTCTAATTACTCCCGAATTACTTTAGGCTCCATCTGAAGGTGATTGTTCTGTACGTGCTCCATGGAATTTGCTGTTTATGGTTTCCTTCAGCAGCAGGCCCTTGATAGAGACCCCCTAGGACAGCTGTAAAAGGAAAACTGAACTGTAGTCTGACAATAACAGGAACGATTAGATTCCTAGCCTGGAAACAGTTTGTTTACTGACAGGTTCCTTTTGTTTGGGTGCTGTGGGTTGTTGTGTGTGTGTGTTTTCCCTGCTGATAGAGAACGAGAATATGTTTGGAATATGCTTTCTCACTCGTCTGTGCTGCCTCCCTGGAGAGCGTCGCTCTTACAGTTCTTGGTGGTGAACTGCTCTTCCCCCTCCAGTTACTGTTGTGTTTTTCCTCTTTTCTGGTGGCCTTGTCCTCTCAGGCCTTGGTGACAGATGAGCCTTGACAGTTTTTCTGGTGTGCAGGGTTTTTTCTTTGAATTTCTCTGTGAGGGTATTTAGTATTCTTTGGTTTTAGGTAGAACCTTGGAAACTGAGTCTGAGATTCAGGGAGACTTAAGTGATTGATCGTGGGGTGCTAAAGAAAGAACTTGAACCTCAGATGTATACATTTAGCCTCTGAGGCTTGTCCCCCAAACTCTGGCTGCTGGTGACAGAAACTCAATTTGGATTTGAGGATCAGGGTGCCCAGGTGGTGTGGGGATCTGTCTCTCTCGCCCTCTCTCGGTCTGCTTGCCTGGGTTGGCCTTGTGCTCTCCAAGTGGCAGAAAAGGAAGCTCGGCAGTTGTAGGTTTGCATGGTCCTTAGCCCAGGTGATATGGTGTTCACATCGGACCCTGGAAAAGGTCTGGCCCTGCTTGGTAGGTGGCTCCCAAGACAGTTCATTAAATCCAAGGGGTGGGAGTCTCTGCATGGCCAACACAGATCACTGGATCATAGGAAGCACAGGAAGTGGGGCTCCTTGGAGTTGGAGAGAAGCAGTTCCCAAAAAGAGGGGATGCAGGGCTGACACAAAAATGATGTGTATCTGTTGCAGTTGCCAAGGCCAGACATGAGACTGTCCCAGCCCTTCACAGACAGCACTGCCTCTCAGGCTGTCCTGTTTGTGCTCCTTGTTTTCCCAGGGGCACTCTTAGTCATCTTAACACGAGCTCTCCTGTGAGGGGGTGGGATGTGATCCGCCGGTGTGTGGTGCAATGTATTTCTGGCTGGGTGCCTAGTCTTGCCTTTTGGTATTTGACATGGAAGCCGTGTTGATGCATCACGTAGGTAAAGCTGTTCCTGGAATATACTAGAGTGATGGAGACTTTTCAGTGGTGGGAACATTTGGGCTAATCTTGAAACCACGAGTGATTGGGCCTCCAGTGGAAATGCCTGATTGTAACATGAAATGATGACACCTAGCTTTTGAATGAAGGTAGCTTCATTGTTCAACCAATTTAATAGTTTGAGTGTTAAAATAGAAGTTCATGCCCCTGCCACCCACCCTTGCCCTAAGGTGGAAAAGAAGTCGCGTTAAGGGAAGGAAATATGTGTATGGAAATCCTTGTTCTGGTGATGCTGCAGGTTAAAAATAGATATAGACATTTATGAGACTGTAAATCCCATATGAGCAGCGGGAGAGATGTTGGGGTTCATGTCCTGTGAAGTAACTGCTCTTGTACTAGCTCTCTAGTGCCCCAGCAGAGAGGGGATTTGGGACTGCCTGTGTTATTGATCCATAGAAATGAAGATAATGATGAAGAGGTCTTTGGTTCGACCCCTTGTTCTGTGGCTGAGCATAGACCGAGGCCCCGTGAACCGACTTGCTCATGGCTCCCCAGTAGACTAGAACGTGCATTTCCTGACTGAAGTTAGTGTTCTTTCCTCTAAGACTTGATCCAGTTTGGTTTCACATTTTTGACTAAAAAACATTCTCCTAGCGCTGGCCAGTTTGGCTCAATGCAATGGTAGAGCATCCGCCTGCGGACCAGAGTTGCGGGTTCGATTCTGGTCAAGGGCAAATACCTCAGTTGTGGTTTGGTCCCAGCCCTGGTTGGGGTCATGCAGGAGGCAACCAATCGATGTGTCTCTCTCACATCGATGTCTCTCTCTCTCTATCTGAAGATAAATGGAAAACAGTGTCCTTGGATGAGAATTTAAAAAACAAACAAAAAAACATTCTTCCCCTTCTTCCACCTACATCCTAGAAACAATTCTTTTTTTTTTTTTTCATGAATCTGTATACATTTTACTAATTTATTATTATTATTTTCTTTATTGATTTTAGAGAGGGAAAGAAAGGAAGAGGGGGAGAGAGATAGAAACATCGATGAGAGAGAACATCGATTGGCTGCCTCCTGCATGCCCCTCACTGGGGATCGGGCTCACAACCTGGGCATGTGCCCTGACTGGGAATCGAACTGGTGACCTCTTGTTGCATGGGTTGACGCTCAACCACTGAGCCACACCGGTTGGGCTACATTTTACTAATTTAAATGGTTTATTGAAGGATGGATACAGAAAATACATGGTACATGTGTCCTCAAACAGTTGCTCTTGTCCAGGGCAGACATCACTAATCACTTGCTACATTCTTTTCTGCTGAGGCCACATGTGGGCTCACAACTCTGTTCTGGGGTGAGGCAGCCCCTGCCAACTCCTCAAAGGTGGACTGCAGGGAAGACATGTTTTTTATTTTTGTGATGGTAGATAATATTCTATTAGACTGTGACTTATTTACCTGACTCTGGGAAGGGTATAGATTATAAGAATACATAAAACCCTGGTGATGTTGCATGTTAAAAATAGATGTAGACATTTAAAAGACTGTCTCATAAAAGAAAAGAGGCAAACAAGGGTAAGGATGTCGTATGTACATTTCTTTAAAAACTGAAGAAATAGCCCTGGCCGATTTGGCTCAGCGGTTAGAGCATCAGCCTGCGGTCCAGAGAGACCGGGTTCGGTTCCCGCTAAGGGCATGTACCTCGGTTGCAGTTTGTCCCTGGCCCTGGTTGGGTTGTGTGGGTGGCAACCACTCGATGTGTCCCTTTCACGTCGATGTTTCTCTCTTTCTCTCTCCCTACAACTCTATCTGAACAAAATATGGAAAAATGTCCTTGGGTGAGGATTAAAAAACAAAAACAAAAACAAAACTGAAGAAATAACTCCAAGAAATAAGTCAGCCAGTATTCTAATTTTCAGCTGGAGATAGGGAAGCAGCAAACAATTATATGTGTTTAAATGGCCTCTCCTACAAATGAAAAGAGCTTTTTAATTGCTGGGGCTTTCATCATTCATCATTTCAGCCTCAGTTTAAACTGGCAAGTGCATTACTGTGTTAAGTGAAGTTAGGGATAACTTGCCAGTGTCAGCTTTCACACTGCTGGCTCAGAATTGAAGGAAGCGTGGAAAGGGCTTTGGAACCACCCACTATGTGATGAACTTTGTTTTATGTGCTACTGGCCATGGAAAAAATCTTGTTCATGCCTAATAACTAATTATTTTCTTGAGGGGTTTTTGTAATTTTTGTAAAGTCAGTTGGAATATTAATTACGTGGTGGTTGGCATAATTGTTCGTATAACACATTTAAAAATTAATCTAATGAAATGATGTCAAATTGCTGTGAGCAGCACTTTTTCCATGCCGAATTGGGGAGATAATTCAGATTTTAACTCTCAAGCACCTATGGATAATTGTTCTGTGGAGGGATGACAAGCTTTCTTGATGTGGGCAAAGAATCGGCATCAGCGCTGGTCTTGCTATAACTAGGCAGCGCACACTCGGTGTCGCTCACTGTGTCCACATGTGCTGAGACTGGGACTGAAGTTACTCTGGAGGTCCCTTTCCGGAGGTTTCCAGCGTCCTGTTCCCAGGCTTTTTGTTTTGGCGTTGGCTTTTTTCATTTGTTTGTGGCAGAAGGCTACTTACTTGTTTGCCTGAAAAGCAGATGGACTTCAGCCTTTCTCTGAAGTAGCAAAGACCCCAGCAGGCACTTTCTCCTGGGGGTGGGAAGTCGGCCCAGAGGAAGCTGCTGCTGCTGCCTTTTATGTTTATTTTCTGCATGCTCAATTTTACCTCTGTATTAGAGAAAAGCACCTTTCTGTTCCAAGAGTAGTCAACTGGAAAGCCTGAAGTCATTTCCTCCGCTCTACCCTCCTGAACTATTCTTATCACAATCTAGTTACTTAATGGCTTTAAGTGACTGGAACATTCATCTCTCTCCAATCTGGCAAGTTTTGGCATTGTGAAGCTAACATGGGTGGGGTTGTTTGAATTGTCACACTGAGCCTTTTCCTTTAGGGGC